GGGAATTCTGCCTATGAAAGTCCAGGAATAGCCCAAGGAGACAAGGAGTGCTGGCTTTGGAGGTACCCAGACCTGGGTTGATTCCATACTCGGCTAGTTTGCTGTGTGGCCTTGAAAAAGTTGCTTGACCTTTCTGAATCTATTTTCCCTTTTGTAACATGGGAATCATAGCAACCCCAACCCTCCCATAGGGGTTGTAGTGAGAATTGGCTGAAATTTAAAAATTTCTATATAGTAAAGCCCTTGTAAGGACTAAAAAAACCCAAAAGAATATTCATTTATTTGTTGGGGAAAGAAAAAAAAAAAAACCTGATTCCGACAACCCTAGGGCCTTGAGCAATTTCGCCGTGGACTTGCCTAAGACATTGATGAATCTGTGCAGTCACCAGGGTCACACCGAGGGGTCGACCTCTTCCCCCCTCCAGGTCTTTGAGGGGAGTTTAGAGACGAGGTAGTGATCTTGCTAATAAAAGAGGTGACTTGCCTCCAATTAAGGCGTCACCAGAGTCAGAAACGCACCGGCTGGGTGACCTGGTGATTCATGCCACTCTTGCGCCTTCCAAGTCCAGGGTTACGCAACCCACAGCAGACACCGGGGAATGAGAGCAAAGGCCTGAGTAACCAGCAGGTGAGGGTCCCGCACAGGTGAGCAGCCAGCCGTTTAGCAAGAGGGTCTGTCCCCCGGGGGGCTCAGGGCTAGAGTCAGAATCACGCCAGGAGGAGGAACCCCCAGGACTCTTGGCTAGACAGCGCCCCCCCCCCCAGAACTGCACCTCCCTCCTGCCACCCGGGTCCCAGAGCAGCACCTTTCAAACTGCGCATGCGCAGGCACCTCCGGGGATGTCAGTAACACAGAGCGGGTCTGGGATTCTCCTTCCCTTTCCTCCCCTCCTGCCTCTCTGCTCCCCTTTCATTTCATTTCCTTTCCTCGGGCCTTGCCACGTTGCTGAGGCTGGCTTTGAACTTGCCATTCTCCTGCCTCAGGCTCCCGAGCTGCTGGGATGACAGGCGTGCCCCAGAATTCATTTCTGACACACTCCTGGCTGGTGCTTCAGAGCATCAAGGACCCCGACTCTCCTCCTGGCCCCGTGACCTCTGGGGCTGTCCTCCACCAGGAACCTGGCTCAGCTTGACTCCAAAACGTGGGATCCCAGGACCCAACGGCACTGCTATAAACTGGATCCCTTGGGATTTCTGGTTTTTTTGTGGGGGTGCAGGGATAAAAAATGAATTCAACAGCATGGCTGGCACATACCTGTGATCTCCACTACAGGGGGGGCTGAGAGGTAGAAGGATGGCAAGTTCAAGGCCAGTCTGGGCAACTTAGCAAAACCCTGTCTCAAGATAAAAATGAAAAGGGCTGGGGACCCAGCTGAGTGGCAGAGCAACTGCCTAGCACACTCGAGGTCCTGGATTGCATCTCCAGTGTGTGTATGTACCCTCGCGTGTAGCAGGATAATTTATTGAAAAGTTAAAATTTCTTTTCATCTCAATATACCCGCTCTACATACTGTGTTCAGGCAAGTAGCAAGTCCCCTTGATGTCCGCCCCCAGCCCTGATGCTGGGGACTGGATCCAGGGGTGCTCTTACCACTGAGTTACATCCCCAGGCTTTTTAGTTTTTGACACAGGATCTCACAAAATTGCCAAAGCGAGCCTTAAACTTGTGATCCTTCTGCATCGCCGGGCTGACAGGCGTGCACCACCGTGCGTGGCCTCTGGATGCCTTCTTGCACAGGGCTCTCTCAATGACAACTAAGTACAGAAATCAGACAATTCCTTTTAAAAACAGAAGGCTCCAGATAAAGCCCGGCCCTCTCCCAACACCCCTGCTCCTCGTTGTTACTTTAGGGCTTATATCTACAGAAGGATTGTTTTTGTTTTTTTTTTTTAATTTTGCCGGGCTGGGAATCAGACCCAGGGCCTCGTGCGTGGCAGGCCAGCACTTGACCACTGAGCCACACCCCGCCCCAGAAAGCTGTTTTAAAAGAGGGATTTCTGCAGAATCATCTTGGACTGAATCTTCCTTTTACAAAAATATAAGCCCAGGGGCCCAGGAAGGCAGAAGGAGAGGGGCTCCCCTTTTCCATCCTGTTGCAGGACATGACGGGGGACGGGGGAGCTGTAAGGATATAAAGGGAGGGGGCCTTCCTTCAGCCTCCCCATCAACGCCACCAGGTCCTGATTAGAACAGAGCATGGCCACGGCATGCTGGAGAGGCAGACCCCAGCTCTCTAGGGGACAACCCCACCCCCAGGGACAGCCCTTCACAGGGGAGCAGGGTATGTCTCCCACTGGACCAACCCAACAGGCTAAAACCAAGAGGGGGGCTTCCAGGCAGGACCTGGGCTTCGGCCCCAAGCACTCCCCAGCTGGCAGAGGCCCCCAGAAGTTGGGTCACCTGTGGTGTCAGCATCAGGGACGTGACATGGACACGGAAAGGCAGAGTCCCTGCCCCTGATTCTGAATGAGTTCTCCGTCCTGGTGTTACCTGGGAAGGGAAGGGCCTTCAAAGGACTGAAAAGGAATTAGGGCCACACCTCCCCAGGGGAATTTGGGGTGAGCCCCAGGGAGAATCAGCTGCAAATTCTAAAGTGCTCTTCTATCCACTGTGTCAGTCACGGCTTCTGCGGAATCGGAGTGCGGGTGTGCCAGCAGGGCACACCCCTTCTGAATGGGAACCCAAAGAAAACACAAAAACGCTATTCCATATTAGAAATGCATTCACTTTTTTTTTTTTTGTATCAGAGATTGAACCCAGGGGTGCTTAACCACAGAGCCACATCCCCAGCCCTTTCTATTCCTTTGAGGCAGGGTCTCGCCAAGTTGCTGAGGCTGGCTTTGAACTTGAATCCTCCTGCCTCAGCTTCCTGAGTCCCTGGGATTACAGGCATCTGCCACTGCGCCTGGCACATACCATTTTATTTTTAAAGGAATACACATACTATAGTTTTGGAACACGTTATCAACCTGTTTCATCCAAAAAAAAAAAAAAAAGTCGCTAAAGGTCGCCATCTGTGGAACACCCTGTGCTGCTTCCTTGATCTTAACTGTTCTAGGGTTAGGGACCACGAGTTTGTCCCTAAGCAGGCGGCGCTCCCTCCCTGGCTTTTTTTTTTTTTTTAACATTAAGAAAAAAATTATTGCAAAGGTTCTATACACTCTAGAGTTCATTCATTATTCAGTAGAATATGCACTTTGATCCTTTTTTTTTTCAAGTGATAAAATTCAGAACTGTCTCAGATAAAAATACCTTTGGGTTCCATTCAGAACGGGTGTGCCCTGCTGGTCTCGCCACCGCGCTCCGATTCTGCAGAAGCCCTGACGGATGAGCAAGGCTCCCGCCTCTGCTGTGATTGCCGCCCAAGTCCTTCCCCACAGGGCGGATCTGGGAAACCATGGGAGATACCTGGATGTGATTGTAAAATTCAGGAGGGAAAAAAAAAAAAAGCAATAAAAATCTTCACGCACTTTCCTCTTTGCCAAGGTTGGCTGACTCGCCAGAGGCCCCTCCGCCCAGTGAGTAAGAACCAGAAGGATTTCTTCTTTGTTCTAGGGATAGTCATAAGAGATGCTGCCTCTTCCCCGAAGGGGTTTCAGGATATTTTAGGAGTTGTGATAGGCCATGTCATTAAAAAAAAAAAAAAGCAGTTTATTTTTTTTTTGTTGTTGTTGTTGTTTGTTTTCTAGTGCTGGGGATTGAACCCGGGACCTGAGAATGCTAAGTATATCTGCACACTACCATCTAAGCTATGTCCCCCACCCCACTTTTTATTTAAGACAGTTTAGGGTTGTGGGTGCCTGGGTCGACTCCCAGCATGACAAAGAAGTAAATAAAAAACACCAAAATCAAATCAGCCCATTTATCAACAAGGAGGAAAAAAAAAAAAGAATGTGTATTTATAGTCTCCCAGCCTGCTCTGAAATTCAAAGCTGGAAAGCGTTTCAAAAAGCAGCGTAGACATGAGTATGGAAAGCGAAAACGCACGCGCCAGCACCGTCTACGGTGGTTCATTCAATCTCCATAACAACCTGCAGGGAAACTCTACTTTTCTAGAACCTGAAGAGCTGAGTGATTTCCAGAGTTTGGGGCCTAACAAAACTCCACGCCAGCCGGGGTCTCCAGGCCCTTGCTCCTGACTCAGGATGTGCTGACTCCCTGGGGTACAGCCGCTGTCCTGCACCTGACCTGCAGATCACTCTCTGGGGGGGGCAACTCAAAGGCTGGTGCCGTTTTCTGGCTGATCTTGGTCAGAGCCCACGGTAGAGCTGACAGCAGGATTCTTCTCTCCATAAAGAGAAACCCTGGGCCAGGCACAGTGGCACACCCCTGTAACCCCAGCGGCTTGGGAGGCTGAAGCAGGAGGATGGTGAGTTCAAAGCCAGCCTCAGTGATTCAGTGAAGCCCTAAGCAACTTAGAAAGACCCTGTCTCTAAATAAAAGTATAAAAAAGGGCTGGGGATGTGGCTCCGTGGTTAAGTGCCCCTGGATTCAATCCCTTGTGCCAAAGAGAGAGAGAGAGAGAAAAAAAAAGGTCTGTCTCAAGAAGGTACCCAGCTCGTCAAACATCAAGGATGGAAATAATGGCAGAGGTGTTCGGAGTTATCTTCCCTTTATCTCATTGAGGCACCCCAAAAATATACATAAAGAAAATAAAAATGTTTATTCTTGACCCAAAAGAATTCTGCCTTTCACCCCCGCCCTTTAAAGATGCATCATTGATTCTATTAGTCTTAGGAACCAACCAACATGTATCTCACGTGTGTATGTGTGCGTGCGTGCGTGCGTGCGTGCGTGCGTGCATGTGTGTGTTCAAAGGGCAACAGAGCTGGGGTGAAAACCAACTGAGGAACTCAATCAACCCAATAGAAAAAACAACACAACTTTGAAAATGTAGCTGCAAACATGAGATCGGGTTGCCATGGCAACCACTTAATTGACATTTTCCTTTTTCTAGTGTTTGTTCTGGGCAGGTAGGTGCAGACATGTGTCCCCAGGGTTGTGTAAGTATGCGGGTACCCGGCTTTCCCCATCAGGGTTCATCACTGGGGCCTGGTACTGCTCCCAGACAAGGCCCTGGGAATCCGGGTCTTGCGCATGGAGAACCCTCTGTCTCAGGCCCCTTGGCCACAAGAACCACATCACCATGTAAAGAAATGATATTTCTGAACTTGCCCCTGGCATGACCAGGAGGCTAAGGATCAGGATGCAGAGTGACGGTGGCAGACCCCAGAGCAATGACACCAGGTGGGCTGTTCCCCACTGGCTTGCTGAGCCAGGTGACGTGGAGGGGCAGAGGAGAGGGGAGGCAGCCCAGCCCAGTTTCAATCCATCAAGAACGCAGGACTCCCCCCCCCTTTATCTTCTCAAAGCGCAGTCATTTTCTGCACCAAACCATATGCCAGCAAAGCTATCGTCAAGAAAGACAAAGAACAGGAAGACAGGCCAGGAGTGGCTTTGCCAGCCTCAGTGATGGAGGACAGAGTGACCCTTGGATTTACCTGCAGGAGTGACTGACTGTGGCTTCAGCCACAGACCTCCCCCACGCAGCCTCTGAGATGCAGAATTCCTGAGCCGCACAGCAACGAGAGGCAGCCCTGGCTCAGTCCCTGCAGCCACGTGGCTTGTGACAAGGATGCATGCAGAATACTAAACATGACCCTGGGAGCTCCTGACACGGCCACCTGGCTGCAGCCCTGCCTCTTCTCGTCTGTTTCTCGCGGGTCTGTCACCGAACACACGTGGACAAGCCGGTGTCCAGAAACCACGGCTCTGTGCCGGCAGATAGGAGTCGTCGTCAGCAAATTATTTTTGCAGGGACAAGAAAATCGGTAGGTGGAAAATATTGCCTTTGTGATTTCCCCATGACCAAAGAACGGGATGGAATCGCAGCTTGCATTTTTGAAAAGGCAAAACGCTCCCCAGAAGCCCACTGGAGTTCCACCTATCAGAGCTTCGCTTTCTCCATTTCGTCACAGGCCTGACTGTGTCACCTTTGTTTCCTGGACCCCTCCTGCCTCTAAGGGCCACTGCAAATCTCATTGTATAAAAATCTGGAGCATCTGTGTGTTGTGTAAATCAGACTCCAAGAAGGTGCCACCAGGATCAGGTGCATGAGATTCTGGGTGGAAGGAGGACTTGAACGAAATGGCCCTTAGGAGATGGGGGGAAGGCCTCCTGGCCTCCTGGCCTCCTGGACCTCTTCCTACAAACTGAGAATAACATTCTGGGAGGGAACCCTTATTTGGGTGGTGGTATTACTCCCCCCAGATAATAAAGATGATGGTAGAGGACATGCTAGGAATCTGTGGTACTCTGGATTCACTCCCCAGCAGCCCTCAAGCCAAGTAAAAATAATTAAAGACCATTTGTAAATGTCTCTGTCACTAAAGTGCCCCCTCCAAATACATTTGGAGACCCCACTCACTTTGATTCCCTTTATTTTAGATTTCATTGAAATTATCTTATAACACTTTCTCTGACTTGAGAATACAGACATTTTGACTGGCATTATTATCCAGCGATTGTACTGGAACGTCATAACTGTCAAGCTTTTTTACTCAGACTTGCTCAGATCTAGGTTTTAGATTATTTTCCACCCAATATCGAATATTTCATCATTCTTGGGCAACTCCTAAGAGCCAGTTTATAGTTTCTCCACTATTTTAAGCATTTTTTTTCCTTTGCCATCTTTTCCCACTGAGGACTCTGATGTGGGGAGCACCCACATCAGACCCAGGGAGGAGCTGCACCCCTCCTGCAGCTCCCGGTTATGTTAGGATAACCTCCTTGGACTGGGGGTCCCTTCCCCCACCTCATCCTCTCCAGTCACCCCTGTCCCTGTCCCTGGTGTAGGAAATGACCTCAGCTGCTCAGATCAAAAACCTAGGAGAATTCTCATTCCTCCGCCAGGCCACGCCCCAGCTGTTAGCAGGTCCAGTGGGCCCTATGAGCAAGACAGATGTCACCCTCACCTTCTAGCAGCCTCCTTGCTTGGCCCCCTGGGCCCCTCAGGCCTTTCTGCCACCCGGTCGGTCAGGGGAGACCACTTAAACCATGTCACTGTCTTCCATTTCTCCTTCAACAAATATTTGTGCACCTCCTCTGGCTAGCACCGCCCTAGCGGGAGCATGACCTTGTGCTCTCCTGGAGGCAAGGACGGTGGACAGAATGAAAGGGTGGAATGCAGAGTGTGGTTGGGGGGTAGATTGTAAGAGCTGCAGGTGAAAATACTCGGGGAAGGGGGACGTGAAGTGGTGGGCGGCTGGATTCCTCTCTGCTATTTAAAGAGGGAGTTGTGACTTCAGGGAGGGTGGCCAGGGGAAGGCCTTGCTGTAAGGGGCGTTTGGGACCCAAAGGACGTGGGAGAGCACCCACATCAGACCCGGGGAGGAGCTACAACCCTCCTGCAGCTCCGCGTTATGTTAGGATAAAGTCTGAGCCCCTTACCATGCTCCATGGGGTCCGCTATTGGGTCTGCAGAGGTAGCCTGTGCACAGGCCTCTAGAATGTCCTTTCAGTCCCAGCCTTTCGGTGCTCTGGGCGTGTCACCAGACCAGTTCTCTCCCCTCTAAGCGTCTTTGCTGGGATTGTTTCTTCTCTGGCTCACCCACTTCCCATAACACACAGCCCGAGCTCAGTGGTCCCTTCTTCTCAAAGCTGGCTTCTGTCTACCCTGTGCTTAAAAATGTCACTTTCTCAGAGAGGCCTTCCCTGACCACTCCCGCCTTCTTTTTGTGTCATCATCTCCTCCCGGCCCCTTCTTGTGGCTGAAGTTATCTTGCTTTCTGTCTGTCGCCCCCACCAGGAATGCAAGCTCCCAGGGGGGCAAGCCAGTGTTGACCCGTTCAGGGTCAGATCCCCCCGGGTCTGGACCACAGCCAGGGCTAGGTATGAGCAAACATTCCAATGCATATTTATGGAATGAGGGAATCAATCAATCAAATAGAGGTAGATAACACACTTGTGAAAAATTCATGCAATCCCATGCGGCAATGCTGGAATCACTTAAAAACCTCATATCCAACCCCCATGGCAGGCGCCATCATTTCATCAACAACAAAAGCAATAAAGTCCGGCATGGTGGGTGCACGCCTGTAATCCCAGCAAGTAGGGAGGCAGAGACGGGAGGATTGTACATTCAAGACCAGACTCAGCAACTTAGCGGGACTCAAAAAATAAAAAGAGCTGGGAATGTAGCTTATGGGTAAAAATGCCCCTGGGTTTAATCCTCAGCACCAAAAAAAAAAAAAAAAAAAAAAAATTAAAAAAAAAGAAGAAAGAGAATAGCAATAAACACAATTCAATGGTAATTCAAGAATTTAATTTCATAATTCCATTCAGTAACATGGCTCATGTTATTAACTTGGACAGTTATTAAAAAACCTTTGCATGTATGACCTTTCATCTTCACAACAACCCAATGCGGGTGTGTGTGTGTGTGTGTGTGTGTGTGTGTGCGCGCGCGCGCAAGTGAGATCCAGTATTCCTTGTGTTAATAGGTACAAGAACCAAGGTTTAGGAGATGTTTTGTATTTTCCCAAGATCACACAGCCAGCCTGAGGGCAGAGCAAGGATCGTAATACCAAGCTACACAATCGTATTCAGATGCCTCTAAATAAGTGTCATGGAGTATCTCCTGGGTGCCAGGAACTGCAGAAGCAAGAATTTCAAAGACTTGCTGTGTCCCGGACAAGTCAGAATAAAATGTTCTAGATAAAAGGATATTTTTCCCTTTCTTTCTTTTTTCTTTTTCTGTTTTGTACTGGGGATCTAACCCAGGAGCGCTTTACCACTGAGCTCCATCCCCAGACCTTTTTTTTATTTTTTATTTTGAGGCAGGGTCTCCCTAAGTTACTGAGGGTCTTGCTAAGTTGCTGCCAGATAAAAGGATTTTCAGAGAGACTGAGGTAGAGAGCAGACCATGGCCTCAGGACAGGAAGTTGTAACTAAAGGAAAACAAAAAACTTTATTTGCTTTTATCACCAGTTTTAGAGGTCACCGCAGCTAAGCAGGATAATTCCCATTGGTCTTGCAACAGATAACACCTTTGACATAGGGGTCACCAAAGTGACAGTTGGTTTTCAGGAGACTGGAGGTACCTTTTGTCTATCTCAAATGCACTGGAACCACTGACCTTTCACCTGGGCACTTGGGTCTGATAGATGACCTTCTGATGTCAGGGGACCAACACGCCACCCTCAGAGCACACTAGAGCTGCCACTTTCCAAACCTGCATTCTATCAGGAGCCATAAAGTTCAAGTCCCCGTGAGCAGACCACCGATGACTTCCCTTTTCCTCACCCCCAACCTCCTTTCCCCGGGCCTCAGACCACCCTGCTTCTTTTAAGAACCCAAACCAGTCATTTCAGAGATTTCCACGGAGCACAGTGGGCCTGGTTCAGGAACAGTGGTGGATCTCGTTTTGAACTTGGCCCTGGCTGTCTAGATAGTCATCATGGTAAACGCCTGATGTGCCTCTGTGGGTTCGCTCCCAGCAACCGGCAGGAGTTTCTGAGAGTAGAGAAGATACTAGAAACACCTGCATCTAGAACCCTTCAGACATGTACTAGATTCCGCACCTAGAAGAATACATCCATAGTCCACCCTGGAGAAGGTGCTTTCTTTAGCTAAAGGCAACGTAAACTCCTAGCAAGACCTTGCCTGAGCGCCTCTGCTCCTTACCTGTAGGCCAGGGCCGCGGGTCTCCGAGAGCAGGCTGCCTCCTGGGGAGGTGGGGCTGTGCCAGCCAGGGGCCTCCTCTGAGTCTGTGCTGGGGTCTCTCTCCTTCTTTCCCTTCTGCCGGGCCCAGGTGTCCCAGCCCAGCCACACCAGGGCTGGAAGTACAAACATGGCAGCTTGTGGCCTGGCGCAGGCTGACCGACGGGGACAGTCCAGTGCTCCTCACTGCAGCCCACGGCTGCCTGTGCCCTGGAATTTTCTGCTTGGTTCACCAATTCCTAGCTGGACCCCGCAGTGGCTTTGGTGATGAACAAGGCGGGCATTCAGTCTTCCGCTCAGCAATTAAAAGGCTTTGGGGAAGGATCTCCATCAGCTAGCTTCCTGCAGTGATCTGGGTCACCAGCGAGGGTCTTGCAACGTGTCCCTCTGTGAGTTTTTCAGTCATGGTTTCCCCTGAGTCCGACAGTAACATCTTGAGAAGGATGAGAATCATCTCAGCAGGTGACAGAAATAGTTAAGGGCTCCCGATGTCCAAGTGGGAACTCCAGGTGGGCAAGGTTGGTTTTCATTCCCCCCAAATCCAGTGACCCCCGGTGCAAATTTGGCAGACGACGCAGGTGCTTCTCCGCCTTCCTATGCTGCATGTGTCAGTCACACCCCGTGCTGGCTCTACCTTCAAATATGATCCAGGATCGACCACTGCTCCCACCTCCAGGGCCCCCACCATCTCAGGCTCCAGCCCTCCACCCACTAGTGTCACTTCTCAACACAGCAGCCGGCAGGACCCTGTTAAAACTGATGCCAAATCACATCATTCTCCTGCTCAGAGCCTTTTGATGGCCCCATGTCACTCCAAGTACAAGTTCAAACCCTGTGTGCGCCGGGCCCCCAACTCTAACCTGCTCCTGACCTCGGCTCCCTCCCTCCACACCTGCACAGATGTGTTTTCCTCCGGGCTCCTCCTGCAACCGGCTTCCCCAAAATCACAACCCACACTTCACTCATCTTCCATCTAAGAGACTCAGCTCTGCATCCCGGGCTCTGCTGGGTTTTGGGGGGTTTGAAATAGTACTTCCCGCCTCCTGGCACATGAGTGTTGAAGTTACGTGTTGATTCTCTGGTCTACGACCTGCCCTCCTGCTCTGAGGGTCTGCACGGCATAGATTGTGTCTACAGGGTTAACTGGTGGCTCCCAGGAAGTCTGGTGTGTGGCCGGGGCTGGGCAGTGATTTGTGAATCGTTGTCAAAGCCACGATGCGAAGGTGGGCCGAGGAAATGTTTTTGACTTTCCTGCTCCTCGAGGAGATAGATGGGGATGAGCCGAGGGGGTGAGGGGACAGAGCCAGGACGCCTACCAGCCTAGGCCCACCCCACCCCACCCCACCCGAGGTGCAAACCCTGGAGGACCCTGAAGGGAGCTAGAGGAGAAGTTCCACCCCATCTCTGGGTGCTGCAGGACCCCACCACTTGGGGTCTCAGTAAGAGCCCCTCCCCCCGAAAGCACTGCAGTCGAGACCTGAAATCCAGGTGGAGGAAGCAGACAGAGCCGGCGGGGGACCTTTCCCTACCTGTGACCTCCCAGCTGCCTCCAAGGCAGACACAAGCATCTGGACTTGCTAAGAAGGGGGGGCCCCAGCAAGGAGCAATGTGCTGCCGTCACCCAGCCACCTGGACCCAGAGGGCGGGCCGCTCTGCCCACAGGTGCCAATTCTCCGTAAGCCCCTGAAGCTGGCTTCACAGCCGTCCTCCCTCCTCTGGTTGTTAATGGAGAAGGAGAAACGCAGATTAGAAACGTCCACGGGTGTGACTAGTTCAAGGCTGCACCGCCCATCCACGGTCCACATTGGTTTCATTGTTTGCGGATCCAATTTCTTCCCAAACACTGAAGTATTGGGTTTTGAGAACTGTACTTATAGAAAGCTCCTGAACTGGACTAGTCCCAGGTCTGGCCCTTTCCGCTTCTCCGTCTTATCCTTTGTAATGAGCAATTCGATTTGAATCAAGTTCTGTCCCAGGTTCTAGAAGCCATTGTAGCGAATCATAGAGACGGAAGAGGGGGGCGTGGGAGCCCCCCGAACATCCATCTGCTCCACCAGCCCTCCCGGGAAGTGCTGGTCTGCTGGCCTCCGCGTGGGTCGAGGGCACGGAGCCCTTCACCTGTGACCTGCTGCGAGGGAGGGCAGAGGAAATGTTCTTGACTTTCCTGCTCCTCGGGGAGATGAGATGGGGATGAGCCGAGGGGGTGTCAGAATTGAATTGTGTGTGGGACACCAGCTGATGCAGGTGGAGAGTTGGTTGGTAGGGAAAATACCCCCACCCATTTGGCGTACGTCTTGTATCAGGAGTGTTTTATGGGTAGAGACAGATCAGAGATTCCAAACCGAGTCTCTGTGTCAACACACAAAGGACTCGGAGTTTCCTGTTATCGGCAGGGGAGGCGAGTCCTGAGAGGGACTTGGTGGATGATGTGGGTGTGTAAGAGATAAGTGAGGCTTCTCTTTCCCTTTGCCTTATTGTTCGTGCGTATGCGGTTTTTATTTATTTACCGAGTGCTGGGGTGTGAACCCAGGGCCTCGAACATGCTAAGATGTGCTCTATCACTGAGCTACATCCCCAGTCCCAAGAGTATATATTTTTAGATTCAGTCTAGATGCCAGAAGAGTCCTTTTGCAAACCAATTTTAAAAATACTCCGAGCAATTACAGTGGAACATCTTTGGTGTTAACTAAAAAAAAAAAAAAAAAAAAAACCAGAAGCCCAAGTTTTGTTAGTCATTATTTTCTGTTTCATGCCTGGAAATTGCCATACGTGTCGGGAAGTCTATTAAAGCTCTAAGCTCATTTTGCCCAGATGAGAATTCATTTGCTTTTATGATGCCCTTGGGAAGTCAGGGGTGTCTGGCATTGTTGCTATGTAGTCATTGTTTTCTTTAGTATAAAACTGGAAGGGAACAGGGGGTGACCTAACTGACTGGCAGAAGGACCACACAGAGTGCTTAAGTTCAGGATGAGCATCTAGACGCCTTACAGGAGCTTAGGGAATAGATCGGGGGTAAAAAGTGTGCTTAGCATGTGCAAGAATGGCTTGAACCCCAGCATCCAAAAAAAAAAAAAAAAAGAATAGGATGCTATTTCCAATTCTATGTGTGGACCACTGAAGCATCACTCCCACCATACAAAAAACTAGCACTGACTGCGCATCATTTTTTTTATATTTCTTTGTTGGATGCTGGAGACCTAATTCAGCTCCTCGTGCTGGCTAGACATGTACTGTGCCACTGAGCCACACCCTCAGCCCTCCGCAGTGTCTTGGCTTCTTTGTTTTCTTGCAAGGCTGGGGATTGAACCTGGGCTCTCCCACATGCCAGGTAAGCACTCTACCATCGAGCTACACCCCAACCCTGTTTTTATTTTGAAACAGGGTCTTGCTAAGTTGCCAGGCTAACCTTAAACTTGGTGATCCTCCTGCCTCTGAGTAGCTGGAATTACAGGCATGTGCCACTCCCCCCGACAACATAGTGTTTTTAACCAAGCAAATTAGCCTGTCCCAGGACTGTGTGCGTGTGAAGCTTCAGGCAGCCGTAAGGAAAACTGTAGACCTTTAGACAGACTTCTTCAAGATTGCACAAATTCTGTTAGGAAAAAACCAACCAACAAACAAAAAAACCCAAATCTCAAGAATTTAGAGGCTGGGGATATGGCTCAGTGGGTAGAGTACCTGCCTAGCATGCACAAGTTCCTGGGTTCACTCCCCAGCACCACCAAAAAAAAAAAAAGAAAAAGAAAAAGAAAAAAAAATTAGATTCCCTGCAGGATGTGACCTTAAATTTTGCTTGGTTTTTCAAGGTGGAAAATGTTCATATAAAATTAAGCTTTTTGAGGGAATTTCTGGGATGAATTTCTTCTCTCTTTCCCTGCCCCTTTATACATTAATCCTAAAATCCTAAGAATGTTCTTCCCTTCGAAGGCATGATAACACACTTTTGATGTGCTTTTTAACACAGAAAGAACAGGAGCAGCTGAGAGGTCAGACAGAGCAGGGCTGGGCAGGGGGATTAGCAGCAGGTCCAGAGCTCCTTCTCCACTAGTGTGGGATTGGGCCTCATTGCTGGTCACAAACCCTATTAACCAATTCAGGGCAGACACCAGGAGAGTTTCTAGATAATTGTGATCCCACTAGAAAGGGCATATTGTAAATAAGCAAAGCCATGAAACCCAGCTTTCGCTCATTAATTTATTCCCTACCGACGAGTTTAATTGAGATAAATGACCTTGTAGATGTAAATGCAAATTTACACCAAATCCGGGGCGATCAACTGCTCTGTGTGTGTGTGTGTGTGTGTGTGTGTGTGTGTGTGTGTGTGTGAGGGAGGGAGGGAGAGAGAGGGAGGAGGAGGGAGAGAGGGTGAGGGGAGGAGGGGGCAGCGTTTACTTTGCCATTTCTGATTTAATTATTTCCAAGTCCTTATTGAGTGCGTGGAGTGTGCCTGGTGGCAGGTCTCAGGGAATCGGCGTCAGTGTCGCCTTTAAAACTAGAGTGGGTGCTCTTTGTCTTGTGAAGGGAAGGAGAACACAATCTTGCTGCTTCTAGACTAGAAGGTGAAGGGCTGGGGGTGCGGCTCCATGGTAGAGCATTTGCCCGGAATGGAAAGTATGAACCGAGGGGCTTAGAATACGTGGGCCAAGTTCAAAGTTCTCCGCAGCATCGTGAGATTGAGAGGCAGCGTGTCAGGGTTGGCTTACTGCTGCTTGTAATGGGGAATGTCTTACAGGGGGAAAACTTCATACAGGGACAAATAAACTACTTTTTCCTCCTTGGTTAATGCTATTTCTTTTTTTTTTTTAATATTTATTTTTTAGCTGTAGATGGACACAATACTGTTTATTTCATTTATTTATTTTTACGTGGTGCTGGGGATCGAACCCAGGGCCTCACACATGCTAGGCCAGCACCCTGCCACTGAGCTACGGCCTCAGCCTGGTTAATGCTATTTCTTAATGATGAAAAATCTCTGAATAAAAAACCCTGAAAATACTTGAGGGTGCCAGAGACAGTGACCCCCCCCCCCAATACAGACTCTCCCGCCATTGTGTGGGCTCTTCGGATGATTCAGTTTGGGAAATTTTTCCACGTTATTTCTTTGATATTGTCCTCCCCTCCGCTTCCTTTGTTCTCTGTGAAATTCCTTCTGGTCAATTTTTGCAATGGCTGGTTTGGTTCTTTCTCTTTGATGTTGTACCTTTCTTTTTTGTTCTAGTTCCTGAGAAGTTTTCTTTAACTTTAAAACCTCACCTACTGGTTTTTTGGGGGGGTGTGGGGGGATACCGAGGATTAAACTCAAGGGCACTCGACCACTGAGCCACATCCCCGACCCTATTTTGTATTCTAGTAGAGACAGGGTCTCACTGAGTTGCTAAATGGCTGAGGCTGGCTTTGAACTTGGGATCCTCCTGCCTCTGCCTCCTGAGCTGCTGGCTTTGAACTTGGGATCCTCCTGCCTCTGCCTTCTGAGCTGCTGGGATTACAGGCGTGGGCCACCGTTCACCTGATGATTTTTATGTCCCCCCCTCCCCAAACCCCCACCTTTTCTCCTGAGCTGGTGTTTGCCCAGAGGTGAATGTGAGATCTCCTACTCAGCCCTGGGTGAAGCCCTGGATGATGGTGTTCTGGGACCCAAGCAGGGGAGGAGGCCAGAGGCCTCGCTGTGGAGAGAGAGAGAGCACTCAATCCCTCCATCCTGGGGTGACGCCTTAACAGCCCCCACCTCTGCTCCAGGTGTTCCCAAACCCTGACCCCTGATAACTTTTTGCTTTCTTTTTTTTTTTTAATATTTATTTTAGTTTTCGGCGGACACAACATCTTTGTCGGTATGTGGTGCTGAGGATCGAACCTGGGCCGCACGCATGCCAGGTGAGTGCTCTACCGCTTGAGCCACATCCCCAGCCCACTTTTCCTTTCTTTTCTTTCTTTCTTTCTTTTTTTAGTACCAGGATTACATCCAAGGACGCTTAAGCCACTGAGCCACATCTCCAACCCCTTTCCATTTTTTCTTTCAAGACAGGGTCTCACTAGGTTGCTTACAGCCTCCCTAAATTGCTGAGGCAGGACTTGAACTTGCAATCCTCTTTCCTCAGCCTCCTGAGCTGCTGGGATTATACACACCCAGCTCCTTGACACCGTTGATTAGCTGTTGTTTCCTCTTACATTATCCTTCGGGGGTTTTACTTTGTAAATCTGACAATCATTTCATTTTGGCTCAGGAAGGGATAGAGGCGTGATGCATCCAGGCTTACTTCAAAGCACGTTTTTTTCTTTACGGCTGGGGATCAAACCCAGGGCCTCCTGCCTGTCGGCCAAATGCTCTACCACGGAGCCAAACTTCAGCCTTCAAAGCACATTTACTTTAGGTGTCATTATTGTTCCATAAACTCTAATGAGCCCAACAGGGGGAGAGTAAGGAAGCCACATGGTGGAGATTCTACCCTCCACCTGAAGTGGCAGAGCAATAGTTGAAAGTAAAGCATCACAGGTCACATATGTATGCCATAATTCCTGCAGCAATTTAAAAAATTCTTTGTAGAACAGTCTTTTATTTATTTGTTTTTTTTTTAAATATTTTTTTGTAGTTGTGGATGGACAGAGTGCCTTTATTTTATTTGTTTATTTTTATGTGGTGCTGAGGATCGAACCCAGTGTCTCAAGCATGCTAGGCAAGCACTCTGCTGCTGAGCTACAGTCCCAGCCCATTCTTTTATTTTTTTATTTTTTATATTTTTAAGAATTTTAATATTTATTTTTTAGTTTTCGGCGGACACAACATCTTTGGGTTTTTTTTGTATGTGATGTTGAGGATCGAACCCGGGCCGCAGGCATGCCAGGTGAGCGCGCTACCGCTTGAGCCACATCCCCAGCCCCCCACTCTTTTATTTTATTATATTATTATTTATTATTTTTACAGTGATGGGGATCAAACTCAGGGCCTCATGTATGCCAGGCAAGCACTCTACCACTAAGCTGCCTCCCCAAAACCCTGTAGTCATTATAGAGAATGACTAGAAATATTTTTGTGTAGCACTAAAACTAGTATATTCTAGTAGTTTTCTTTTTTTTCTTTTGATACCAGGGGTGCTTAACCACTGAGCTCCAGCCCCTTTAAATATTTTATTTAAAGGCAGAGTCTCTTGAAGTTGTTTAGGGTCTCACTCAATTCCTAAGGCTGGCTTGGAACTTGGGATCCTCCTGCCTCAGCCTCCCGAGAGGCTGGTAAAAAAGTGGATTCTTTTAAAAGATCAATGAACCTGATAATCCTGGAGCCAGAACTGACAAACGAGTGAAGCTAGAAATGAGGTATTAAAAGGGAAAGCGATAGAATCAGACTGCACAGGCAATGGAAGAATAATAAGGGATTATTACAACCAATTCTGTGCACTCGAGTTAAATGAAATGGACCCATTCCTTAAAGCTACAAACTACTAAAGCTCACCCAAGAAGAAACAGAAAGACCACAGTGTAGTAGAGGTTCTAGAAGAAATGGAATGTAGAGTGGAAATTCTTCCATCAAGCAAAACCCCAGGCCCTGGCAGTTTTATTGGTGAATTCTGTCCAGTGTTTAAAGATATAAGATCAGATCTTCACACACCTCAGAAAATAGACGAGGGAACCCCTCCCGGCTCATTTTCTTGGCCAGCATTACCCTGATAGTAATGAACCAGACAGATTGTGTTAGTACCGCTCACAACGATGACAGACCCCAAATGCCACCTGCCAGCGCTGTGCCCGTGTGCCGTGTGTGCCCCAGAAAGGAAGCACACATTTGGGCTCCGCCATCCTCCCCAGGAGAGAGTGAACCGACCGGTCAGGAATCACCACACCCAAGTCGCACAGTCCCCTCAGGAAAGCCCAGTCTGACCCTGGGCCAGGTCCTCCGACTCGCCTGGCCTTCCTGGACTCTTCTCCCGTTTCGAATTCTCCCAAGGCTCCCAAGAACCCCTCAAACCTCCTTCCTCTCGTCAAACTTCCTGATACTCAATGAGCCAAGAAATTTCTCTCCCGTTATCCTCGGAGCCTCATGGCAGGACCCCAAGGCCCTCAGTAAGTGCATCCAAGTGCAGAGGACTGTGCCCTTGGGCGGAGCTGGCCCTTTCCTGGATCCCAAGAGCAGCCGAAGCCAATTTTAGTTTTGTTTAATTTCTGCTTTTTGTTTTGCCTTTTTTCTTCTCCTTCCTGCCCCATTTCAGGAATAGCGACAAGCCATCTAATGTAAGGATCGTGAACTATTCATAGAAAATCAAAGTGCGCAGCCCGGCAGCCAGCCATGTCTTGTGCTCCAGGTGTGTGATTAAGGGTCATTTACTTTCTTTAGCTCGATAATTCACAAGTGTGTCCCCTACCCCACCCTGGGCTAGAGATGGAACCCAGGGCCTTGCTAGGCAAGTGCTCCACCTCTGTGCTACACCCGCAGTCCTTTTTATTTTTATTTTAAGACAGGGTCTCACTAAGCTGCTGAGGCTGGCCTCCAACTTGCCATCCTCCTGTCTCAGCCTCCTGAGTTGCTGGGATTACAGGCATGTAACACCACAACTTTACTCTACACCCTGCCCCGCTTTAAAGCCTTCTTGTTCTTTAACAAATTTAAATGAAAATACATAGTTGAATTCTCATAACGAATTTGATTCCCATGCATACCAAGACAAATGTGTAGAAAAATAGCCAAAGACACTTTATTCAGCTCTTTGACAAAAAGAAGGTCCATAAAATTATATTTTTCCTTGATACTCTTCCTGACTTAAAATTATATATAGGACCGTATCCACCTCCTTATCTCGGATGATACTGGAACAGTTTCTCTCCGGGGAAGTCAGAGTTAGATTCCCCTAAAGCTGCATACTCTGGTGGGCAGCAAAGATATTATATTCAACCTGATCCCAAAAAGGAGACACAAAGCCTTTCCAGAAATGTCTACACGAAAACACTTGTTTTCCACACACCAAAAATAGAGACTTGTCTAATGCGTGTTCTGTGTTTGAACATTTTTTCCTGCTTCCGCTTCCCAATTTAAGAAAGGGCTGAGCCGAGCTGTGCTCCCTCCCTCCTGCAAGGATTGGGCTGGAGCCACGAGGTGACATGAGTGACATTAGCTCCAGCCTAAAGCGGAGAGCTGGGGCTGTCGCTCAGTGGTTGGGCACTTGCCTCCCCAGGTGCAAGGCCCTGAGTTCAACTCCCTGCACCTCGTCCCCCCCCCCCCCCCGCCACCCAAAAAAGCAAGAAGAGCAAAAGAGAGTGTCACTTAAGGAAACACTAATTATAACTCTTTCTCTTCAGGTCTCGGAGCTCCATCCCGCTGAGCTGCCAGACCCCACCATTAGGCCGTCTGCGTTGGCCTTAGAGACTTCCCTCGGACAAATCTCCTCCCACACCCCCAAGTGATGCCACGGTATGGTGGGGGGCAACTGTGCAGGCGGCGAAACCCAAACTGTTGGCTTCTTTGCAAAACACAAACCCAACCCACCCCCCCAACAAAACCAAGAGCAGAAGATGAAGTGCTCTTCATTCCACCCGAGGAAAGGAGGGAGAGCAGCCAGGGGCCCAGGAAACGGGGACATCTGGGTGAAACAAGATGACACCCGTGCACCCCTCACCTCGTCAACCTTCTGCCTCAGCGTCCTTCCCTCTGGTCCTATCACTGCGCAAACCGAGGCAATCTGTGAGTCTCCTCCATCAGATAAAATCGACCAGGACAAATGGCCGGCCTGGAAGTCCCCAAGGACACATTGCAGGTGGCCCGAAGGTGGATGAGCCCAGTAGGCAGAACTTTCTCAGTGGATGCTCAGGGCACATGGCTCCGACAGGAGGGCCCAGAGCGCCTTGTGACCACAAGGATGTGGGGGTTGGACTGGCTGCTGCCTCTGCCTGGGAGCGCCGGGCTGTCCCTCATTTACTGGCTGTTTCCCAGCTTTAGGTGTCATCTGAGGAGTCACCTCCCAGCGAGGCCTTCCTTACCCGCCACCTAGATTAACTGCTGTTCTTATTCATGCGTGAATACAGAAACGGAGCCTCACCTGAGCTGCAGGTCTCTCATCCGTGATGAGGGCCACCCGCATGGAGTCCCCAACGCGTCCCAGGAGCCTGTCATCCTGCAGCTCTGGAGGCGCCCTGTGGAGCCAAACCAGGGAGCCCACCGAGCTGTCCTGATGGGGAGGCTCCACGCGGGGCCCAGGGTAAGCCCTGGAGAAAGGGGAGCCACCCTGGCATCTTACAGAAAACTTCAAGCCTGGAAATCTACACAAAGAAATTTACCAAGAGCCTCCAACATTTGGTCCCAAGCTCACTGCAGCCCTCTGGACAGATTCGAAATACGATTCGGTTCACAGAACTTTTCATCTGGGCTCCCGCGTGATATTTGCAGTAATCATAAGTGGGTGTCAGCAGCACCCAAGGAAGGTAGGAAGGGTCTGGACTGGGACATTCTCCCAAAGACACAGTCTCTGGTCCAGGGCAGGTGACGGCCCTCGGCTCCCAGAGCCACTCCCCTTCGCTAGCCACGGAGGCAGCCACGGCAGTCCACCAGGAGGGCCATGACAGGCTGCTCCTCGTGACACTGGACGCAGACAGAAATAACGTCCTCAGCCCTCATCAGTGTCCCCAGCCAGAGGAGGAGGCCTCTGAGGAGTGAAGAATGAGGATAATGAAAATGGAAACGTCAGTGGCAAGTGTCAAACGCGGAGGGCCACCCGGGGGACAAGGGAGGGTCTATTTCTCCCTAACAGGCAGCACCGGGTGGGGCGGGGCTGGAAGGGAGTTGGACCATCCCTTGGAGGAAGAGGCATTTTTCTGCACTTCCATGTGGAATGGCTTTTAAACTGCATTTTTTTAAAAAAAATACTTTCAAACATTTAATCCCAGGAAGATGTGCATTTAATTAAAATTTAATCTCCGCACTGCCTTATAAGTAATTCATGCTCCAGAGTTCTTACCGCTCTCCAAGGATTTCCGCTGCAAACCCAATCCCTGTTTCTCACCCCAGCCTGTCAATCCTGCCCCCTCCCCCCGCCACCCAGAACCAGGTCATCACCTCACTCTGCTCCGGGACCGGAGCCTCCAATCCAGATGCGTCCTCGTCTCGGGACCTCCATAAGGCTGCCAGGGTTCTCTTTCTGAAAAGCAGCTCCGTCCAGGCCATTCCTTCAGCTCTCCTGCTTCCTGGGCTGCCCCATGGCCTTCAGGGTAAAGTACAAACTGCTCAGCAGACACCTGCAAGGAATCCTTCGCAGTCCATTCCCTCCTCCCCCCGGAATGCCACCTGGCCCTGTGCCCCATGCCCTTTGGTCATCAGCCTTCCTAGCTATTCTCCAGCACACCGTGTCACCTGGCCAGCCTTCTGGGGACACTGGGCCTGGAACACCCTGCCTCCTGTTTCCCAGCCTGCAAGAGCCTATGTGGCCTTCATCCTCCAACAAAACCTCACTGAAATGTTCCCTCTGCATTGCCACACAAGGGCTGGGACTGTGGCTCAGTGGCAGAGCCCTCGCCTAGTGTGTGCGAGGACCTGGGTTCAATCCCCAGTCCAGAAACGAAGATCCCCCTGGAGCTGATCACAAATTCCCCCAAGTGGCCAGAGTGTGCTGTGATCCCCTCCACCTTAGATTTGGGTGGGGCTCTTTGTTTTGTTTTGTTTTTGCATTTCTTTATTTTCTAAGGGAAAGAAAGCTCCTAGGGCCCTCGTTTCACCTGTTTTTATCCTGAGCAGAAGGTAAGTACTGGATAACTGCTTCTTGAGCCAAGGCAGGAATGAATGGCACCCTGCAGGTGCCAAAGTGCCTTTTGCAAAAACCAGTCTGCGTCACTCTTTGACCTTTGCTCCTTCCTAGTGATAAGGTCACATTGGAAGCTATGAAAACTGGTAAAGGAGTTGAGGGGAGGAGGCGGGGATGAGTCCAGTGCAGTAGCACAGGCCCGAAACTTGGGAGGCTGAGCTAGGAGGCACAAGTTCCAGGCTCTTCAGGGAGACCTTGTCTCAAAAAAATTTAAAAAGGGGTGGGGACATGGCTCCATGGTGGAGTGCCTGCATAGTGGGAAGCCGTGGGTTTGATCCCCAGCACACACACACACACACAAAGGAGGAGAGAGATCTATGGGACTCTGACAATTTACTTATTTTCACTGTTTCTTCTTTTGTTACAAAAGTTCTGCCTGGATGAGCTTCCAAGGTGTCTTCCAGTTCTCCTGGGTCCAGAAACAGCTGGGAGAAAACCCGAGCCTTAGTGCCACCTAGTGGCCAACTGGCGAGAGACAGCGAGGAGGAGGAGGAGATGGAGGAGGAGGGACCTGGGGGTGGGCAAGGGAGGGAAGAAGCCCCAGCTCAGTTACAGGAGGAGGCAGCCAGAAATTAGGGCAAAAGTGCCAACGTGAAGTTAATCCAAGAGGCAGCACTGTATCCTGATGCTGAGATAATGAATTAGCCTCGGAACAGGTATGAAGTAGACGACAGGAAAACCCCAATTGGAAAAAGGCAAAAAAAACAATCTCTACTTATCCATTTACTGCTTGATACTTTAGTTAATTAAATAGTTTCCTTGAGAGGAAATTTTATTTATTTGTTTGTTTATTTGTTTGTTAGTTTGTTTGTAACGAGGACTGAACTCTTACGCTAAGCACCTATTCTACCACTGAGCTACACCCCCAGCCCAGGAGATGTACTTTTGAAGAATCTACAGAATTGGATGCTCATGACTCACTGAAATCACAAATTAAGTATCTAATCAAGAGTACAAAGATAGTTTTCAAAGTCTTTCTTTACCTACATGAGAGTGTAATAAGGAACATTAAAAACCCAGATGAGTTAGATGTGGTGGCACCTGTCATACCAGCAACTCTGGAGGCTGAGTCAGGATTGCAAGTTCAGACCAGCCTCAGTAACTTAGTGAGACCCCGACTCAAAATAAAAAATAAAAATGGCTGGGGATGGGGCTCAGTGGTAGAGCGCCCCTGGGTTCAGTCCCCAGTAACACAAAAACAAAACAAAACAAAAAAACAGATATGACCAATTCACACTAGAGAAAATATTTAAAATGATCTGAAAAAAGCAGAAAAATAATAACAAAATATTAGCGTCTGCACATGCTTGGGCGTAAGCTTCATGAAAGCTTACTGAGCTAAACTTTTTTTTTTATTAATGTCAATCTTTGTTTTCTACATTATTTTCTAGCTGCCCAAAATGAGACTCAAATCACCAATTGAATAAATAAACAATTTTTAAAAATTCATCATTTACTGAAGGAGGACTACACTGAGGATGTCTCAACCAACGCTAAAGTGAGATTCCTTGGTTACATTCACAAATAACAAACTCTATCTGTATGTGTATTACCTTATAAAATCTGTTCTTCTATATCCCATCTCATTGGGATCTGGTAGAATCCCAGTATTTATGGACACCCCCACCTGCAGTACTTATTATTGCAGGGCCCCAGAAACACAGACTCTTCCACTGTGATGCCATATTTTCCAAACCAAAAAAAACAAAGACCCCTGGTACTGTTAAGAATGTTTACATAGAAACGAAAGGAAAAAGAGGATCTCCAAGACACAGACAGGACTTCCAGGTGGCTCTGTTCCTGACAAATCTATCGCCTAAAACTGCTTGAAAAGGAAGAAATTGCAAAAGGGAAAAGGAAAGAAATTGGGACCCAAGAGGGAGGTTTGGGGGACCCCTGAAGGAAGGGGCACAGGTGAATCAGACACCGACAACATAAGAGAACACAGCTAGTCATGGGTGGTGGGTCCGGAGGCAGGCTGAGCCTGGCAGGTGTATTTTACCTGCTGTTCAACACACAACATAGGCCTCAACCTGCAAGCTCACTAGCTGTGCCTTCCTTTCTTTCTTTCTTTCTTTTCTTTTCTTTCTTCAGCGCTGGGGATCAAAGCCCTGGCCTCTGGCATCTAGGCACATGCTCCCACCCCCACTTCAAACATGCAGACCTAAAAAAGAAACTTTAAATGAATAAAAAATGTAAATCCTAACAATGCTCAGATAGGTCACATCAGCACAGGCAGAAGGTCCTGTAGCCCAGGACACAATCCTCAGCTTCATAATAAAACCCAGACAGGAAAAAGACTTGACAATTAATCTCCTGGCTCGAGGTTTAAAACATATCAGGTTCAAGTGAAAAATGACCCTCTGCGTTCACACCCATTGAGATGCAAATGTGGTTTTATTCTCTGGACTGCCCGACTTGGTTCTGAAATTCTGTTTGGAAATTCTGTCTGTCTGCAGATGTCAAGGCCATTAGCTCCTTCTTGGTTGATAAGTGTGCTTTGCATAGAGCGTTTTGTAGGAGTTATTTTTCCCCGTAATGAACACTCAGCCACGCAGGCCTGTCTTTCCAGCCTGCCTGATGTAAGTAAGTGTCCCTTGATTAATGGACCTGCCAACTCGATGAGCTGATATCACCCCGACAAAGGCTCAGCCTGAAAAATGTCGCTTCTTATCCTGGTTGTCCAAGCACTTCTGCTTTATGAGCTTTGTGCTTCTCCTGGATGTACCTAGTATTTCATTTGCGGTTTTGTTTGTTAGTAATAAGGACAGTCATATTGAAGCCGAGCACTGAATTATTCAATTCCATAGAAATACTTTCTTTTGCTTAAATGACATGCCTCAGAGGACGGGCAAGTTCTCTTGTTTTTGTTTTTTCCTCCAATTTTTTGCTCCTGTCGGCTACACTGCTACCTGTCCCTTAAATCAATGGATAGATACGTAAACACAATATTTTTTTTCTAGATTCTGCCTGGAGACAAAGCCTTGCAATAATAGAGTTGTTTGAGAAGGAAAAAAAGAAAATTCTTCATTGAAAACATTTTTGCTTTACTTAGTCAAAGACATAGAATCTGGATGTGTGAATAGTCAACTCTGCCAGCATATTTTATGTTATTGGTAAAATTCTATTTCAGCAGAAGAATCAGAAGTCTCATAATGTAAATAAGCAGAATTATGGGCTACTCCGGCTGCTTGATAGAACAGTATTCTTTTTCTTTTTTCTTTTCTTTTCAGTACTGGGGATTGGACCCAGGGGTGCTTAACCACTGAGCCACATCCTCCACCCTCTTTTTGTATTTTATTAGAGAGAGGGTCTCGCTGAGTTGCTAAGTGCCTTGCTAAGTTGCTGAGGCTGGCTTGAACTTGCCAACCTCCCGCCTCAGCCTCTCAAGCTGCCGGGATTACAGGTGTGCGCCTTGTGCCTGGGCAGACAGTATAATTGAAAAATCCCATAACCATTGTATAGAATAAATTTCAAGGTATTATGAAGACTAGTGATCCCAAAGTTATAAGACAATAGGACCCCCCCACCACCACCACACTCACAGAACTGCATTCCACAATGTGAATAAAGGACTTCTGTAATCATTAAATGTCAAGCTGGGTCCCCAATGAAAGAAGGAAAACAAAATCCCCAAACAAAAACATACTTCTTGGGCTGGGGGTGTAGTTCTTGCCCAGCACAGGCAAAGCCCTGGTTGATCCCCAACAGGAAAAGGAAAGAAAAACTCATTTCCTTCATTCCATGGGCGAGGTTTACAAATGTAGTTCTCAAAAGAAGCAAAACTAGAGTATAGGTACATGAGTACCTCATTTCCATAACCATCAAAATCTAAAATGGTATAAAATAATAAGAGAGAGAACACCTTGGAAAGGGGAAAGAGTCTGGATCAACCTGGCCAAGTGCAAGGACGAGGACCAGAAGACAAAGAGGAGAGAGACATCCTGCTCACATACTGTCTTCATTCATTTTGTGTGACTATAACAAAATGCCACAGGCTGGTTAGTTTTCAAAGAGAAGAAATTTATAAGTCACAAGTTCTGGAAGAAACCCA